AGAGATCTCACGAAACTGGGGATCCTCCTCGAAATTACGTTACACGAGTAACGTACGTGGTAACGTTCTCTGTAAGAAAGAGGAGACGCCTCGTCGGGTTTTCGAGCTCCACGGCAAAGCAAATGCCAATTCGCTCGGTAAAAGGTCGAGGGCGGCGGAATTTCGTGCTTCCGAGAGATCGATCGCACATAACCAGGTTCGTTTTAGCGGAAAGACAAGGGTCTGACAGAGACGGCGGACGTTTTATATTCTCGCGCGAGCATTAAAGTGAAACAACGCGGCGCGGCGCGGCTCATCGAAACGCGAAACGAGGAAGATCGCGAGAGTAGGATTCTGGAACAGGATGGTTGCCAGGACTGAGATCGGCCTTAAAGTGGAACTTCAGTCCTCGTGAAAATGTATCGGTCTCCTGGCCGGACGGCCTTATTAACATTTATAGCGCGGATTTAACGACGCGTTCGCCGTAAATTTCGCAACTCCGTGATCCCATGAGAGAGAGCCCCAAAAACATTCGCCTCACTTTAATCCTTAATTCAATGCGGCAGATTACTCGCTATTATGTCACCATTTTGGTATGTTTCAGTGGCCGATTTCTGCGGAATATTCATTATCCTTGTGCAATTTTAAATGTTAATAATAATTTGAACACAAGATAAATGATATATACACGTGATGAACGATATTTCAAAGCTTGAGTTTCTGAATTTTTTCTTTGTGTATATTTTGTAATAGGTTAATTAATTAAAATAATGTTAATTTTTTTCAGACTGCACCACGAGAAAATTCGAGAGATAAAGCTTTTAAGTGCAGTTTGCAGTGGCAAGCCCTCATTATGTATATATCTAGAGTTATTAAAATTTATAATTTTGCGTAAAACAGACTTTGTAAACATCTCGCGTTTATAATTGAATATCATGCATTAAATATGAGCGAAGCTATTGGAATTGTCAGCGCTAAAATAGCGACGTACTCTTGAGGGAATAATTAGGGCTATATGTCGGACATAACAATTGTTAGCGCTCGGCTCGCAGTAGCTAAGAGGGTCACCATGTTAATCAAGATCGCCGCAGGACGGAAGAATAGCGGGACGCAACCTTTAATCCATTTGCGCTCATGAGCATAAACCGTCCATT